TTTTTTTTTTTTTTTTTTTTTTTTTTTTTTTTTTTGCATCTTCTTTTTTAGTCCTTCTGGAAAGCTTGTTCAGATTGAATATGCTTTGGCTGCAGTAGCTGCAGGAGCTCCATCAGTTGGGATTAAAGGTATGTCCAGAAAATAACTACTTTAGTGAAGGATTTGGGATTTTGACTATAATTTGAGAGAACTAAATCAGTTTGGATTATGTACTGGGTCCTGTGTATTGGATCTTTGCTCATCTTTCCTTCTGTTACATATTTTGTTACTCTTTCAGTGGATTTTCACGTGTTGAATAGCTATAGTGTTTTCTGGGGTTCTTTTCTGGGTGATTCTGTAGATGGTCAGGTGGTAGAGATTGATGTTTGGTTTGGAGGTTTTTTTGATTGTTCCTGTCCTTACACGTAGAAATTAGACAAAAAAAAAGTTACTTTGATTGCTCAATTATTAATATGTTATTCAGAATCTTTAAACTTGTTCTGTGTTTTGACTGCTTTCTATAGTTTTAATTTGATATTTAAAAAAATTTCTTGTTGTTTTCCAGCTGCAAATGGGGTGGTGTTGGCAACTGAGAAGAAGCAGAAATCCATTCTGTATGACGAAAGGAGTGTCCACAAAGTAGAACCAATTACCAAACATATAGGATTAGTGTACAGTGGAATGGGTCCAGATTACAGGTATGAAAACATCTTGTTTGATCACCAGTTAGATCCATTTTCATACAAGAAGTGTAAGAAGCAGGTAGCAACTAGCTGTTTCTAAGTCTTACTAGGTATATGTTGAAATACCGTATTTTATTATAATAATAAAATTACATTCACTTGAAATTTTCCTCAATATATCCAATACCTTGTCAAATAACTTTTATCTGGAGAATGAAAGCAGTGTTATTCAACCTCAGTTTCAGTCTAAGTGTTTCAGAGATTACTCAGTTGATCAAGGTAAGCCAGCACAGTCTGTTTTCTTACATTAATGTTATGACAGATGTACAACTCCATAGCACTGTAGTTAGTATGAGTTTTCAGTTCCAGTTGGAATTTCTTTGACATAGTAATTCTGTCTTTCTTTTTAGAGTACTTGTGCACAGAGCTCGGAAGCTGGCCCAGCAGTACTACTTGGTTTATCATGAGCCCATTCCAACAGCTCAGCTAGTACAGAGAATCGCTTCCGTGATGCAGGAATACACGCAGTCCGGGTATGTGGTAGAATTGCAAAGTTGCTTAGAAAGATGTTTTTTAAAAGTAAGGAGTAACAGCTGCTCAGCGGTGCAAGTTTTTGTGTCAAAGACAATTCTTCAGTGGAGAACATGCACAGAAAGTGGGCCAGTGGGAGGAGTGTGGACTGGCACCAGCTGAGAATGAGTCTCCGTATCTTGCAAACCAACGCATCAGACAAGGCAGCGTACTTTTGGGTTTGTTCTGGTGGTTGACTAGTCATTCCTTATCACAGCTCCGGTCTGGTGGGAAATATTTAGGGGAACACTAACACATCGAAAATAATTTGGTCACCTCTGGCTTTCACTGAATAATTTATCATTTTGTTTTCCTGTAGTGGTGTTCGTCCTTTTGGTGTGTCACTGCTAATATGTGGCTGGAATGAAGGGAGGCCGTATTTATTCCAGTCGGATCCATCTGTAAGTATCTTACGTTTGTAAATTCTGCTGCTTCTGTAAAAGATGTGAAATTTCCCAGGTGTTCATGAAATAGTTTCTGCAATGAGGGCAGTGCAGGGCTAGAACAAAAGATACCTTAACATAACTTCAGAAGTTAAAATGAGCCATTTCAGTCAGTGCTTGGAGCAAGTCTGGATCATTCTGGACCTACATGTTACTGCGTGAGGGATGGGAGCTGCTTTTGAGGGAGATCACCAACCCTTTTCATGCCTTCCCTAGTTGATTGTGGCAGCAAAAATGGCCTTCTGCAACAGATATCAGGAAAACAAATGTCTGCTTACGCTGCTCAAAACTGAATGGAAGTTTAGTCAAAACCTGTTGTATTGTGAGACAAAATGCACATGTCTTAATATTTAATGACAGTGGTTAAGTGAGTTTACTTGCTGGGTTTGCCCTGTACTTCTGAAAAACTACCCTTTGATGCACGTGCGAGGTGCAGTGCTTCAGACAAAAACAATGAGGTCACTGTCATGATCATTGATGAGCTTCAGAAGTTTGAATTACTGTCTGATTCCGCAAAGTAAAAAGCAAAATGCAGATGACTTAAGACAGTTTGATTAAGGCATAGGCCGGCTGATAGTCTTCATGCCAGAGAGAATAGAAGTGATGGCTAAATATCCTGTTAGTAGCTAACATAAATCAGATGGCTGATTTGCAACAGGTTGTTTATACTACCTCATCTTCAGAAAGAAGAGTGGAGTGAACCTCGGTAAGGATCTGACTGTACACTTTCTCAAAGGCAAACATACTATTTCCGTTTATGGAATTCCAAATCAAAGCTATGCTAAGGACTTACTAGTTCATCTTTCAAAGTAGTGGGAGGATGAAAATACATGGGGCCACCTACAAATGTTCTGTACGTTTTCACAGCATGTGTTACTGTATCAAATTAGTCTGAATGCGATCCAAAATTATCTCCCATAGTCTCAGAACATTCAGTAATTTCATAATTGTTGCTGTACTTGTATGTATTGAATACGCAGTGTTTGACTGAGTCACACAGAACAGTTCAATAGATTGTTGCTTTTACAGGGAGCTTACTTTGCATGGAAGGCAACAGCGATGGGAAAAAATTATGTCAATGGGAAAACATTCCTTGAGAAAAGGTAATGTATTTGTCTGAATGGATACCGTGTTTTGTGCAGGTTCCACGTAAAACAGCCAGATTAAAAGAAATGCACACCTTTTTAGATTGTCAGAACAAAATTTTGAAATACTTAAGATGTGATACTTCTAGTTTACTTACTTAGGAATGCACAGGAAATTTGACTTATTTGAACTCCAGCTTTTGTGTTTGTGGAGAACATATTTGCAGCAATATTGTTATATACAGTGTCAGTATGAAAGGTACTGATTCCTTTTTTGACAAATAAGAACTTTGACTAATAATGTTACAGTGCTTACAAATAATATTTGTATGAGAAAGATTTTAGTAGTGTTTGGGTTTTTAGAGACTCCAGGATCAGTAAAATTTGGAAAGGGCTTTGTCCCATGCTGAAATGCATGAATGTTTGTTTGCAGATACAATGAAGATTTGGAGCTCGAAGATGCCATTCATACAGCTATTTTAACACTAAAGGTGAGCAAAAGACTTTAGAAAGAAGTTTCTTATGACTTCATTGATACGATCCACTGAACTGCATTTTCTTTAATAGGAGAGCTTTGAAGGGCAAATGACAGAAGACAACATTGAAGTTGGCATCTGTAATGAGGCTGGTTTTAGGAGGCTCACTCCAACTGAGGTTAAAGACTACTTGGCTGCAATAGCCTAGTAGAAACCGAGCAAGACTGTGTGGTTCACACAAAGGTCTTTTTAATTTTGGCTACTTAAATGTTTTTCTTTGCAGTTTTTGCATACTTATTTCTACATGGTTTGTCTGAGAGATTTTTTAAACATCATGGGTGCAAATACAACGGTCCTTAATATTGTAATACTTAAAATCTTGTTAAAGATAATTCTTTCCCTTGATACACAAAATACTGTACAAAATGTAAAGATATAGTGACAGCTTGAGAAAGGCTAAAGAATAAAATCGGAGGCCAATGTTCTGGGGGAAAGTGTCTGTGTGTCTTTTCAATCCTAGCTTGTTTATCTGCATAAAGCTTAAATTTCAGTATCTTTATTTTTGAGGAAACAGTTTTTCCCATACAGCCGTGATGGATTCCTGTTAGACCTTTTAAAGAATCTAAATGTTGAGCGGACAGGATAATTTTTCACTTTGGAATATTGTTTAAATGTTAAATAATTTCCAGAAATGGTTTTAACTGGTGTAAAAGATAATGTACTTTCACAAAGAGATAGAACAGTCTTCCATTTCAGGTATGAACTGCAATCTACTTGAGCCTCTCTGCTTTTGACCTTCTTGGTCTTTGTGTCACAAGAACTTGTTTTCCATTACTTAAGTTATTTTCTTGGCCCTAGAAATTGCACTTTTTCAACCCTGAAATATTGTTAGAAAAAGTAGAAGTAATTAACTAAATGCATTTATCACCATCAATAAAAATCAACAGGAGTTACGAAACAGAATGAGAGTATGTAATGTAATTACTTTATCCCTTGAATTGTCCTGAAATATTTTCCAACTTACAAGGTAACTCTAAAGACAGGTGCAGAACTTGGATATTCTTTGTGGGGGGTGTATGTATCAATAAATTTGTTACATATATAGAGTTGCTCAGGTCACAAAGAAACACAATTTATTACAAAAGAAACAGGATAAACATATGGAGGGAGTTCAGCAGAAATAATCTGGTCTGCCACCATTTAAGTTTGCAGGGTTTATATTTTTTAAAGCAATCTCATTGTTAAAATGTCGATAATGAACTGGGAGTGACAGCTGGATCCCTCTGCTTGTGTGTAAGGCTAAGGAAGGAGGGGAACTGCCTGGCAGGTTACATGTCAGCCAGCCCTAACTGCTAAAGAAAATACAAAGTATCAGTCTGCAGAAAGTAGTGTCTAACCTGATTGACCTGTGCTTTCCCATGTCTGCTGATGGTTTATATTATCATCAGGTAAATAAGAGTTTCTGAATCGTGCCATAAATGAAGTTTTATTTCCTAATGTCAGAAATAAAAGCTCTGTCCAAGTGGTTCCTCCAGATCACTTTTTGAGTATTTGGCTCTGAAAACCAGTCCATACCCTGATCCTTATTCTAGAGAAAATTTAACAACTCAGAACTGAAACTGAAGACTTTAAATTGCTTCATCTTCAATTTAAAATGTTTATACACAATCAGTTTTTTTAATGCTATATAAATATTGAAAAGGGTTTTCTATGTGAAAAAGTGGTTCAGTGAGTGCTTTTTGGGAATGTAAACCGTTTGAACAGGTAAAATAATGTTTGATTTATTTTTCAATGGTGACACATTTTTCCTATGAGAACAAATAGAAGTGTGCCTTGGAAAAGATGAGAACACTACCACTAAGCTCCTTTTACAACAAAAAGCTTCAAAACCGTGAGCAGTTGTAACTTAGCTGGCCACAAACTGTGACTGTGCTTCATTTAGCTTGTTCCTGTTCTGAAAGAAGAGACACTGCTCACTTAATGCAGGTGATGTTGATTTGTTTGTCCTGCGAGGTGGTCTGCTCCGAGGTAGAGCAGTGTGACACCTATGACAACTGGGATTTATTAACTAGTAGGATCGGGCTCTGAAAACAGTGTCATCGTTTCATGAAGTTACTACTTTAAGTCACAGAATCACAGATGGGCCAGGTTGGAAGGGCAATGTCCCTACTCAAGCAGGGTCATCCTAAAGCACATGGCACAGGATTGTGTCCAGTATCTGCAGTGAGGGAGACTCCACAACCCCTCTGTTACAGTGCACAGTCGCCCACACAGTAAAGAAAATACAGGTGCAGTAAGCCCTTTACAACTTTTTCTCCCTATTGCTTTCCAGACCTTGTGAAATCATTTTAGGCCCTTGCTCCCTGCAGGACCCAGTGATCAGAAGGCAAGTCTCTCCC